GTGTGTGTGTGTGTGTGTGTGTGTGTGTGTGTGTGTGTGTGTGTGTGTGTGTGTTTGTTCGTTTGTTTGTTTTATTCCTCTCATTTTTTTCTTTTTCACACCTTGTAATTGTTAACAAAGAAAAATAAAGTTTAAAAAAACTAAATGATTAAGTTTAAGCAACAGAAAATACACACACTTGCTGAAATTTGGCTTCTTTCTTTATTGTTTCTTGCTTTGTTTTCTTTTCTTGAAGTTTTATTATGATAAGTTTCATCATGGTAAACTCACATGGAATAAAAGAGAACGGAAGATTTTCTCCACCAGCTATAACATATTTCACTCTCTGTGATATTAAAGCGTTGAATTTTGTTGATATATGTGAGGATTATTCATTTCTAAAGAGTGAACTACTTGGTAACATTCCAGATTTCTAAAATCTGCTGTAGCACAGCCATAAAGGCTGTGCTGCAGTCACCTTGTATGGAACACTTTAGAGAGGAACTTTTGATCATACATATCAATAAAATTCAAGTGAAATAGTTTTTATTTAATCCACTGTCATTTAATTAATCTTTAGCCAATCAGGTCAGATATTCTAACACAGAAATAAGTACTATCTCTCCTGAAATAAGAAAGAAGTTAACATTATTTAATCTTTTTTCACCAAGATATAGCTTTCTTTTAAGATGCTGTACTCACCGTCTCAGCTGTACTCATGTAAGCATGTTCTAAGCATGTTTACATTAGATACATTTGCTTTTCTTAGGTGTACAAATCTACATATGGCTTCAATGCATCAGCATAATTGTGTGTTGAATGCAAAAAAAGCACTAGAACCATTTGCGAAGCTTCCCATTTAGAAGAGGTTACTAAGTGGTATGTAATGTTTCTTCCTTGATCTTCAAACCTCAGCCTTACTTAATCTTTCTATCTATCAAAGTGATACAAAAAAAAGTAAAAGAAAAACACCCACGGGGGAAAATTCTGTTTAACCAGCCAATCAAAAGCAACCTCTCCTTGAATAGAAAAGACTGCATCACAACGTCTGGTTGTGAAACCTGTGAACCTGTAATTCAGGCAGCTCCATGTCATCATGGATGGACTTCACATCACTGTGGTGATTCTTCTGGGTAATTTGACTTTTTTTGGAGATCAAACTGTAATTTTACCACTATTGTCGCACTGGCTGGTGTTGTTGTTCTTTTTTCGAAACACATCACTCTTTGTTTATTTTTCATTTCAGGATTTTCTTCCAGTAGCTATGGTCAAACTTTTGTGTCAGAAAAGGAGGTGACAGCAAACCCTGGAGACAATGTAACCCTTCACTGTGATTGCAAATTGTCAACAGGTGTACTCACAGTGTGGTTCAGGAACTGTTCCCATGAGAACCAGCCAACCTTTGTTCTTGAATATGATAAAACAAATTTTGATTATTTATTTCCCTCTCGATTTGACTTTGTAAAGAACTTTTCCTCTAACTCTTATGACCTGCTGATCACCAATGTGTCTCATTCTGATGAAGGCATTTACTACTGTGGAAATCATCAAATTAAAGTGGAGCAGAAAGAAAAGATTACTAGGAAAAACACTTACACATTCAGCAACAAGACAACGAGACTCACCATCAGTAAGTACGTTTGTCTAAATTAACTTCCAGGGAGTGTAATCATATTTTCACATGTAATTTAAATCATACATTACAATGTCTGCCGTAATAATCCTCTAGAGCATTGTTACAGAGTTGTGAGGCCATATTAAGGATTAAGCAGGTGAATCAATATGTCTAAAACCCTTAATGGAAAAAAATGAATGAATACATCTGCTAGACTTTAACTGTTGTGTGAACACTGTACACTAATTCAATGTGTAAATGATATGCATTCAATATTTATAAATACACAGTAATGTAACTATTAGCACAGAGTTTTCATTTGAATTTCAAAAAGCAAAAAAAACAGACTTGGACGGAACAGTGTGTACAGAGGTATAGTAAAAGACACTTTCTCTTGGGTGAGATCAGGTCACCAATTCTCCAATGCAGATGTAACTAAAATCCCTCTTAAAGCGATAAAATTCTTACACAGAATAGTTTGGAATGGAAATGTGAATCTATAAATCAATATCGGAACTGTTTAAGTTTTTCTAGAATATATGGACAAATATGATGGCTTCTTTTCAAATATATGAATTTACTTGAAGCAACTCTGAGCAAAAAAAGCGAAAAACAAAATCAAATTCATTGTCAAAGTCCTGGCTTCATGTTTGATCCTGATACAATTTAACTCATTCTTAACCATTGTTTGGTTGGTGCTTGTCAAGGTGCATAAGGGGATTGAGAAGAATCTTTTGGGAGGACTCAATGCTTAAAAGATGTGAGGGGTGTGCATTGTTCGACGATTCAGAGATTGTAAAACTCCCTCAGAATGTTCAAGTTTCCAGAGATAAAGTATTAAAATGGGTTAATCAACAAAACTTTGTATTTTGGCAGAGCCCAGTCGGCTTCATGTCGACGTAAATAAGACGCAGCAGCACTGTGATGTGGACCACCGCGATGTGGACTGGAAACTCCTCTTCTTTCCGTGCCTGTCTGTGGCTTTTGTTTCTTCTCTCCTCTCCTCTCTTCTGGTTTACAAGCTCTGCCAGAAAACAGGTACCTGCCATGTTTGAAATGCTATCCAAGAAAATGTAGAATATTTTCACCTATTTATTTCTTATTTTCTTGTTATCCTTACTGTAGTGGAAGATAAACAAGATAATGAAAAACTAAGGGCCGCAACAATAAAGCCAAGAGAGGTAAATCACAGCAGAATATGTCTTTGTATTCATCCATACAGACCTTTGTCACTGTGGATTTATTATATCGTTGATGAAATGATGTGATCGTGTTGCTGTACTGTAAATGTCAAAT